GATTTCCCAAGCAAGAATAGTGGATTAGAATACTGGAGTGTGTTGCCATTTCCTTCTCCAGGGGATGTTCCCAATCCAGGGATCAAACCCAAGTCTCTGGTGTCTCCTGCCTTGGAAGGCGGATTCTTTACCACTGCACCATCTGGGAAACCCAAGTCTGAGTGCCTATGGTAGGTATTTCTGGGTATCAGTTGGTGTGTATATGTGTGTGCTCAGTCATGATAGCCCCAGACTCCACAGGTGAAGGACTCAGTCCCACTGAAGGCAGTGAAGACCACTCCCATTTCAGATGCCAATTGCCAATCCAGGTTGTCTGTCACCTGTGCTTCTGGCATTCAGCTAGAGGTTGTAACTGCTAATGACCCCTTTCTTGGTTTTGATTAATTGGCTAGAGCAGCTCACAGAATTCAGAGAAGTGTTTTACTTCCTAGATTACTCATTTATTATAGCTCAAGGATAGCCAGATGGAAGAGAGGCATAGGACAAGGTATATGGGAAGGGGCATAGAGCTCCCAGGGATCCTCATGGTGTGCTGTTCTCCCTGAATCTCCACATGTTCACTAACCTGCCAGCTCTCAAACCAAGTCCTTTAGGGATTTTATGGAGGCTTCATTACGTAGTCATGATTGATTAAATCATTGGCCATTGGTGAATGTCTCAACCTCCAGTCCCTCTCCCCTCCCCAGAAGTCAGAGGATGGGGCTAAATGTTCCAACCCTCTGAGCACATGGTTGGAACCCTTGAGAACTAGTTCTTATCCTTAAGTTACCTAAGTGCTTTCCAAAAGTCCCCTCATTAGTATAACAGAAGACACCTTTATGGCAGTCATCCTGTAGGAAATTTGAAAGGTTTTAGGAGCTCCTTTCCAGGCATGGGGACAAAGACCAAATACGTATTTCTTATTTTAAATCCCAATATCACAATATGTCAGCTTGCAGTGTGGCAGCTGCCTTCCCTAACAGCACACAAATAAAAGAGAGGGAGATGGAAGCTGGTCTTTTGGAAACCTAATCTCAAAAGTGTCATCCAGTTACTTTTGCCATATCTATTTCCAGTAGTCATGTATAGATGTGTGAGTTGGACCATTAAGAAGGCTTAACACCGAAGAATTGATGCTTTTGAACTGTGGTGCTGGAGAAGACTCTTGAGAATTCCTGGGCTGCAAGGAGATCCGCCCAGTCAATCCTAAAAGAAAACAACCCTGAATATTCATTGGAAGGACTGATGCTGAAGATGAAACTCCAATACTTTGGCCACTTGATATGAAGAGCTGGCTCATTAGCAAAAACCCTGATTTTGGGAAAGATTGAAAGTAGGAGAAGAAGGGGATGACAGAGGATGAGATGGTTGGATAGCATCACCGACTCAACGGACATAAGTTTGAGCAAGCTCCAGGAGATAGTGAAGGATAGGGAAGCCTGGAGTGCTTCAGTCCACGGGGTCTCAAAAAGTCAGACGGACATGACTGACTGAAAAGCAACAACAATTTATTAGAAGCAGGTCACTAGATTCAACCCACACTCAAAGAAAGTGAAAGTGAAGTCGTTCAGTCGTGTCTGACTCTTTGCGACCCGATGGACGGTAGCCTACCACGATCCTCCGTCCATGGGATTTTCCAGGCAAGAGTACTGGAGTGGGCTGCCATTTCCTTCTCCAGAGGATCTTCCCAACCCAGGGATAGAACCTGGGTCTCCCCACATTGTAGGCAGACGCTTTACCATCTGAGCCACCAGGCAAGTGGTTACACACACTCAAAGGGAAGGCATTAAAACTGGCCATGACTACCAGGAGGCAGGGGACATCGGAGGCCATCTCAGAAGCTGCCTAGCAGAGTGGGCAGGCAGGTACTGCATGTTTATATATATGTTTGCCTCCTTATTATTAAAGCTATATAGTATTCTAAAGTAGAAATGTAGGAATCAGGTATTTGAGCAATTCCCTATTATTATTAATTTCCCACTAATTTTGCAGTAATCATTCTTAAACACATACATTTTCACATTTATCCAACGATTTCCTCAGGTATTATTTCTAGAAGTGATATTGCTGGGGCAAAGGATCTGCACAATTTAATTATTCATGTATATTATTCAATTGCCTTCCACAAATGTTGTACCAATGTACCTCTCAATGATTTCTGGCTAATACTTTACATATGAAACACTGAAATGTTTTAATATTACTTTTCTACTGCATAAGAAACATGGGGATGGTCCCACCTTCTCATGGTTTCTTCCCCATGTTCCTTCGATAACTCCTCTGCTCAGGTATTTGAGGACGTGAAGATGCAACCTCTATAATTGCATACTTCACTTAATTCCTCCCCTTTGCATAGTTTTTCTTCTTCAGAGAGATGCTGGAAGTATTAGACAGGATAGGCTACGTTATGCTGCAGTAGCAGAAATTTCAATGGCTTACACGTGAACATTTATTTCTTGCTCACATAAAGTCGGTTTAGATTTTGAAGACTCTCCATAACAGCTTTGCTCCCTATGGGGGTTTGGAGCTACTAGCTTCTATCAGATGGTTCCACCAGATAAATACGTAGTATCCTTGGTTGAAGTAGGGGAAAAGAGAGAGCTGAAGAAGTCAAGTAAGAACTTTTAACCATCTCAGCCAGGAGCTGACTTGTGTCATTTCAACCAAAGAAAGAGTCATGTAGCCCCACCCAAGGATTTTGGTGAACATTCATTTATTAATCACATTTTTAACATTATTAAATATTGAGTAAAACCAATAAGCATTTATTATTAATAAGTTGTCATGGTTGATATGAATAAACATATGCTGACAAATATATGTATTAATAAATAATTTATTTCATATCTATTAAAATATATCTCCATCACAAAACACCACAGGTAAGTACACTTTTACACATAACAGAGGCCTCTCTCCATGGGCCCAGATATTGTCAGCAAATCAGCCAACTTGCCCTGACTTTGATCTTCTCAGGAAAGTCATATAAAAATAGAAAAGTAAAATCGTAAGTCTGTAACCTTGCACTGCTTCATGCAGACAGACCTGTGCCACTTCACTCCACATGTTGAAATGGCTGTTGCCAGATGATGTATTTTTGAAGTGGACACAACTTGGCAGAGGACTTTTCCACCTCTCCTGTTTCTAATCATCTGTTGCCTGGGCATGTCAGGGTCAGGCTTAAAGACTTGCTAGAACTGGAGTCAAGATTTACGAGAACGAGATGTAACCAGGCCTCTCCCAGAGGTTTGGGAAGAACAGCTGGAGTCTGGCCCTTAGCATCATGACAAGGACTATTAAAAACTAAAGCAGTTTTTTCTTTTTTTTTTTTTCCTTTTTTAAAGATGAGTATAGAAAGGCAAAAAGTAACTCCAAAGAAATATCAAAGGCATCCTCAGAAGGGGCACCTTTAAAGCAAAAGATTGTAACAGCTCTGGCTCACTACCTCACTCACATTTCAAACTCTTTGTAAACAAAAGGCAAAAATTATTAGGTTTGAGCGGTGGATTTTCCCCCTTGACCCATTCCTGAATGGAGTTGAATCATTCCCACTCACAGCAGTGAGGGGCTGTTTTGTTCTCCAGGCCCCACCCGGTGCTGAGGTAATGCACCCGGCTGTGTTTTTCTGATGAGTGTGCTAGGGAGGGTCCTCTCCGGGAGGAGGCAAGCTGCTGCCCCAGGCTTCCAGGGTGGATGGCAGGCGGCGGGGAGGCAGAGGAATGGAAGGATTGATGGCTCATGCTGAACACCACGAAGTTCACCTCATCCGTCCTCCTCTTATCCCACCGCTCCCCCCAGGCCCCTGCCTCCATCATCTACTCCAAGACCATCCTTCCTGAGAGCTCACCACTTACCCCAGAGAGTTCTAGTTTCTGGAAACTGGTTCCTGTGGCCACACCTCCCATGTGGGTCTGAGGCCCCCCACCCAAGTTCACCTCCTAAGGAAGAGGAATCCTGAACAGATAAGCCAGCACATGCTTCTGACCTTACAAGGAGCAGCCCTGTCTTCTTCTCCCTGGGACTCTTTTTGTTTCTTGAGTATTTTTCTTTACCTGTTTGATTTAATGTTATTTGTATTTGTGAACATGTCAGAAGACCAGGTAGAGAGAGAGTTTTCAATAAAACAAAAAGAAAAGCATTCCCTTACTCAATACCTTAAGTAAAGTAATGCTTAAAATTCTCCAAGCCACTCTTCAGCAATATGTGAACCGTGAACTGGTTTTAGAAAAGGCAGAAGAACCAGAGATCAAACTGCCAACATCCGCTGGATCGTCGAAAAAGCAAGAGAATTCCAGAAAAACATCTATTTCTGCTTTATTTTTTTTTTTTGATACCAACTTTTATCTAATTATTCAAAGTACAGAATATATGTAATCATTCAAAGTCTCTGGCTGATACCATCACAAGCATTAGAAAAAGAACATATATTGAAAAAGAACACATACTGAGTAACAGTGAGCTTAGGCACTGTTTCATATAAACTGTTTTACGTGCAGGAAATCCAGGATGTCTAGAAATTACTAAACTTATAAAAAGGGGTAAAGCTCTTTTCCTCAATTCTGGCTAAATGTCACCACCTTAAAATACTGACACAATCTTTGATTATAAAACAGAAATGTACAATGGCAGATTTATTTTAGTCCTTATTCAAGAATGATATTTACACAAAGCTCTCACTCAGTATAAATAAACTATTCTATGTCAGGAAAATAACTTTCTAAGTTTTACAGAGCATTTATAAAACAGTTAACATTAACACCAGATTAAAAAATAAGGAGAACCAATGCTACTCTATATGCCTTTGAACTGGGAAGTTTCTCAGACAGGGGAGTCATGGTCAGGAAATAATATTAAAAAACACAAATTTTTATACATTAGTTTATCCATCTCTGTGTAAGCAAGAATGATTCATATTCTTCAGTTAACAGCAATACTAAAAAAATTTTCAACTGGTAAACTATTAGCCTGCAACGTTTCAATTTTTCCTGAATCTTGAAAACTTCAAACTGCCATTAAATATATTATCTTCTGTTTCTTCTTAAACAACTAAGGTTCATAAAAGGATCGTCATCGTCCTCATCTGATTCAAAGTCGACCCCTTTGGCGATCTGGCTCTGGGACATGGGTTTGCTTGATGATGAAGTGCTCGAGCCTCTTTGATCAGTTTTGAAAGTGGTCAGAAAAATGTCTTCTTCGGTATCTGACTCATCCACCTCAATCACCTTGGTATAATTTTTAGTAGCAACATTTCGGGAGGGCTGCTGTCTTGTAGATTTAAAGGCATCTATAATAGACATATTTCTAGACGTTGATGTAGTGGCCTTTGAACCTCTGCCTTGAGTAGAAATCTCCAGACTAGTGCCTGCTCTTCCTCTCTGTGACCCCCTTCTCGACACTGAATTCTGCCCTCTTCCTCCTCTTTGGCCTCTTCCCCGGCCTCTTCCTTTGTTGGCTGCTGCTATGATGCTATCGTCAGAGTCATCAGCCATCTGTTCTGCCAAATCTATACTCATAAGGTCTTCAGCAGTCAAGGCGGAAGCAGCGTCCTCTGACTGAGATCTGAGGGCTCTGGCCCTACTCATGGCCTCTCGAACTTCATCATCTTCTTCATTCGTATTATTTTGTCTGCTTTCTCTGAAACGACGTACCTCTTCATCGATTTTATCTTCTAGGGCATCAATATGACGTTCTTTAAGAAATCGCTGTGTTTTTTCCAACTGATATTTCACTAATTCCTCTATGGCATCTTTTTCTTCCTTGTCCACAAATTCTTGTACTGCTTCACCCATTCCCCTTTCTGTTAGAAGTGAGAGCTGTACGTTCTTCTCTGCAGTTTGAAAATACTGTTTTACAAGGTCTTCAACCCTAAGTGTTGTTCCTTCTGAGGGTTTTGAGATGAACTTGCCAAAGTTGATCTCTTCTCCCGTGTTTTCCTTTTGTTCTCTGTGCCTGAAAAAATGGATAACATCTTTTGGATTAGCTACCCGATCCACAAATTTCTGGCTAAAGCGAAGAACACTGAACGGTTCAAAGCCTCCACTATAGTCCACTCGCAGTCGTATAAGAGGTTTCTCTGGCTGTCGAGAATTTCCCAGACGTTCCCGTTCTGCATTTTCAAGCATTTCTTCAACCTTCTCCAAGCAGAAGTTCTGTATGACTTGGGTTACTTTAGGATTATCTGGGTTAAAAATGTCTGGATGATCAGCCAGAACAACATCATCCATGAAAAACTGCCTCACTGTGCGGAGAGGAATTTTCTGCATATTCATCTTCCTTCCTTTAATACGCAGCAAACCAATGTGTTTCTTTACAGCTTCTCCTGGGGAAAGAGAAGTGACCACTGAACTTCCAGGCTGTGACACGTAGAAGAGCTGTTGTTCATTTTTGGTTGGAGCTATTTTACACTCATGTTCATGGCCCCAGATAACAAGATCGATGAAGTCATCCAAAAACTGCTCTGGAATGAAGTTGGTACTTCCGTGTTTACTCCTGTTCTGATGAATCACAAATAAGTTAAACCAAGAGTTCTCATCTTCTTTCGGTCTCAACATTGTTACTTTTTTGTTGACAAACATTTGATAGAGCCTTTCATCTGGAATGGATCCTAAGCCATATAGAGCAATTTTTGTGCTTCCTTTTTGAAGCAAAACTGGACTAATGTCTATCTTCTCCACAGACATTGAACGTCCAAAGTGATTGACAAATCCAGCACAACTTAAAATATCCAGGGCGCAGAGTGCATCTGCCCCTGTGGGATCATCATGATTGCCATGAATACTAAACACTGGAATTGAAATGTTGAGATTGCCATCTTGGTAGTTCACCCATGGAAACTTACTAAAACCAAAGTTAACTGACTGGTCGCTGAGAATTTCAAACTGTACAGGACGATCCCCCATACAATATTTTCTTAATAACTCGAGGCAGGCATGCAATGTTTTTCTTGAAGGTTTATTTTCATGAAAGAGATCACCACCTAACAAAATAAAATCCACATCATTTTCCTGGGCAAGTCTTAAAATTTCATCAAGTGTTACAAATGTATCATTTCCTCTCACAGCATCTTTTTCCATAAAACCCAGATGAATATCGGTTGCAACCAAGATTTTAAATGTATTTTCATCATCAAGGGCATCCGCAGGACTCATTTCTATGGTCAGTCCACCTCCTCCGAGACCAGTTCCCTCTGCAAGTACCCTTGGGTCCGGTGCTCAAATAGGTCAGAAAACTCACTCGATACCAAATTCACAGCCCCAACCTGGGGACCCGAAGCTGACTTTTACCGGGAAGAAGGAGGGACAATCGCGACAACAAAAGCAACAGCACCACCCGGGATGGCGTATTTCTGCTTTATTGACTATGCCAAAGCCTTTGACTGTGTGGATCACCATAAACTGTGGAAAATTCTGAAACAGATGGGAATACCAGACCACCTGACCTGCCTCTTGAGAAATCTGTATGCAGGTCAGGAAGCAACAGTTAGAACTGGACATGGAACAACAGACTGGTTCCAAATAGGAAAAGGAGTACGTCAAGGCTGTATATTGTCACCCTACTTATTTCACTTATATGCAGAGTACATCATGAGAAACGCAGGGCTGGATGAAGCACAAGCTGGAATCAAGATTGCTGGAAGAAATATCACTAACCTCAGATATGCAGATGATACAACCCTTATGGCAGCAAGTGAAGAACTAAAGAGTCTCTTGATGAAAATGAAAGAGGAGAGTGAAAAAGTTGGCTTAAAGTTCAACATTCAGAAAACTAAGATCATGGCATCTGGTCCCATCACTTCATGGCAAATAGATGAGGAAACAGTGGAAACAGTGGCTGACTATTTTTCTGGGCTCCAAAATCACTGCAGATGGTGATTGCAGCCATGAAATTAAAAGACGCTTACTCCTTGGAAGGAAAGTTATGACCAACCTAGATAGCATATTAAAAAACAGAGACATTACTTTGCCAACAAAGATCCATCTAGTCAAGGCTATGGTTTTTCCAGTGGTCATGTATGGATGTGAGAGTTGGACTGTGAAGAAAGCTGAGTGCTGAAAAATTGATGCTTTTGAACTGTGGTGTTGGAGAAGACTCTTGAGAGCCCCTTAGACTGCAAGGAGATCCAACCAGTCCATCCTAAAGGAGATCAGTCTTGGGTGTTCATTGGAAGGACTGATGCTGAAGCTGAAACTCCAATACTTTGGCCCCCTGATGCGAAGAACTGACTCATTTGAAAAGACCCTGATGCTGGGAAAGTTTGAGGGCAGGACAAGAAGGGGACGACAGAGGATGAGATGGTTGGATGGCATCACCGACTCAATGGACATGGGTTTGGGTGGACTCCGGGAGTTGGTGATGGACAGGGAGGCCTGGCATGCTGTGGTTCATGAGGTCGCAAAGAGTCGGACACGACTGAGCGACTGAACTGAACTGAACTTAATGCCTCCACCCCACTTTTCCTCCCCAACCCCAAACACACAATTTTCTCTGCTCCCTATTTCCCTCATTAATGCCTTTACTTATCCCATTGATTTCCACTGTTTTGTGCTACTTGGGAATTATTTTAACTCAAAGAATTAAGTATATACTTTCTTTTGAAAAATGAGAAACATATATACAGATAAATTTTTGCAAGTAATTTCTTAAACCCTCCAGTTTATTTTATAAAAATTGTAAGTAAATTTGGTATTTTTAAATAATTTCATTGTCTTTTACGTGAAAGCAATTTTAGTGAAAGACCATGACTGAGAATTCCCTGGTGGTCCAGTGGCTAATGCAGGGGCCCTGGGTTCAAACCCTGGTCAGGGAACTTGATCCCACATGCTGCAACTAAGAGTTCACATGCTGCAACTAAAATTCCCTGGATGCTGCAACTAAGTCCCTCTGCAGCCAAACAAATAAGTATTTATTATAAAAGCAAATATTTTTTTAAAAATGAGACTAAAGATGATATATTTCTAATGGGTCAGTGGGAACTGTAGGAGCAGCATAGATTCCTTGAATTTAAAGAAAATTGTTAAGTAAACCTACAGTGCTGTAAACTATTTATTTAAATTTAAATTCAAATGTATCCTGATCTATTTAAAGACTTTGACTTGCTCTCTATTTGGTAATTGATATTTTGGTACATATTCCCCTTGAAAAATGGAAAAAAAGATGGGAGTGGGGTAGCATCTTCTTCCTTTAAAGAAGGTTAGAGGCTTCATGTGTTGTGCAAAACAAACAGAAAAAGCCATATTCTGGTTCTTTCTCATCATGAGTGAAGAAAATGTCAGCTAAGTATCAAGAAGTCTGTGCAAACTATTTAAATTATTTTTAAAAACACAATTCATCTAAAACCATCTTTTGAAGTGGTGAGAATTTGGTCATGAAAATTTTTAATTTGGTAATAAATAATAGCTTCACAAAATGCACCCTGAAAAATCTTCTAATATTTTAGTTGAAAACATTTAACCTCCCTAGCCTCCAAAATAAAAATGTTCCTTATTGCTAAACAAGCAGAAAAGTCAACTTATTTGAATTTATTAACCTGAGATTTTAAAAAGTATAAAAATGGGGTGCTAGTGGTAAAGAACCCACCTGCCAATGCAGGAGATGTAAGAGATGGGATTCAATCCCTTGGTCAGGAAGATCTCCTGAAGAAGGGCATTGCAGCCCACTCCCGTATTCTTGCTTGGAGAATTCTATGGACAGAGAAGCCTGGTGGGCTACAGTCCATAGCGTCTCACAGAGTCAGACACGACTGAAGCGACTTAGCACTCATGTAAAAATGGATTCTATTCTTTATAAAGCTTTGTCTGGAGGCTTGCCTACTTCTTCCTCTTTGAGGATACCTAAACAGATGTCTTCCAACCTGATGGGCTTCCCCCCAGGGCTCTGCTTCAGTCTATCCCCAAGGGGCACAGGGTTTGGCTAGCCCCCATAATTGGATGTTTTTGTATGGCTTGGCTAATGGCATTGGCAGAAATCTGGAAGGTGGAAAGCCAAGTTCTTCTGGGATGGATGGTGGAGAAGGCAGCAGAACTACTCCAGGTGAGATATTCCGGCTCTACAGTGAGCTAACTGCCCAACACAGAGCCGGTAACAGGGGCCACTCAGCCATCCAGGCCCTTCTTTTTCCTCTTCTGTTCCCCTCTTTTCACCTCCCACATTCCGTTCCTCTGACTTTCCTCTCCTGTACCCTCTGTTTTCTCTCTTTTATTTTTGCTCCATCCTTTTGTCCCTTATGCCTACAAATGGCAACAATTGGGAAGAGAAAGTGAAAGTGAAGTCGCTCAGTCATGTCCAACTCTTTGCAACACCATGGACTATAGCCTACCAGGCTCCTCCATCCATGGGATCTTCCAGACAAGACTACTGGAGTGGGTTGTCCAAAAAAATGGACCTTCTGCTCCCTAAGGTAACTGAGGTTTCTTGAAACCAAATATCTTCATCACTCAAATGTTTATTGAGGGTCTACTATATACCATGCCAAGTATTTGGTATTCAAAGTCCATTCAGCCTTTAGAGCATGTTTGTCTTGTTGGGAAGATGTCAGGCAGATGGCTATATAGATTATACCCCATTGGGATAGGAAGAATGATGAAGATGGCATATCAGTCAAGGTGTGCCACAGAAGCCAATCTCACTGTATAAAAACGCTGATGTAAAATTAGGGGATGACGGGCCTACTGGAAGAGATAGCAGAGCAGACCCCAGGAAAGCTTTTCCTGAGGGTCAAGAGATTGACGGTGAAGATGGCAAATGGAGCACTTGAGTGTGGATGGAGGAACTACGCTTTCCAGGAGTCTTCAGAGGGGGAGTCTTCAGAGGGGGAGCTTTCAGAGGGGTGTGTGAAGCCCGCACAGGCACAGACTGGGGCTCAGCGAGAGGGCTGGCAAGCTGCCATGCCTGACCCCACACCGTACTGAGAACAGTGACCTCCACTCCACCTCCACCCCCGAATCTATGAGGTACTCTCATTGGCAAGCTCAAATCTGGAGCTGCACAGGGGAAGTGATTCTAGTAAATAAATTTCCAGCCTTAGACAGAAATGGTGGTGGTCCTGATGGGCAGTGGGGTGCAGATGACTACAGAAAATCCATGATGGCTGAGGAAATTGTGCTACAGAACTCAGAGAAAGTTAGGGTCCTCTCACCCTGGTGAGGGAGGAAAAGAAAGAGTCTGAAGGAGAGGAGGGGTTAAAGAATCAGTCAGTGAGCCGAGTCAGGAGAGCAACAGAGGGCACCCCAGGTTGAAGGCACAGTGTGAGCAGAACCTCAGAGGGGAGCTACAGCAAGAATGTGCAAGGAATTAATTGAAGTTAATTATAGCAAGGTCTTCCTCCAATTTTACTTTTGTTTTGTATCAGAAAATAAAAGGACTTTTTTCCCCTTTTAAACAAAATCATTCAAGAGCCTCCAAGTATTCATCTAGTGAGGACTTAGGACTTACTCAGCAGGTGGCAATAAACCAACATGGTTAAGAGTGTGGGCTCTAGCATCAAACTGGGAACACAACTCCATCACTTAGCTGCGTATTTCAGGCAAGTTACTTAACTTCTCTGAACCTCTATCTTTTTGTTTGTGAAATGCCAGTAATCACCTCTTTTTGAGATTTTGAGGAAGAATTAAGCTGTTCTTCCCTGATAGCTCAGTTGGCAAAAAATCTGCTTACTGTGCATGAGATCCTGGTTCGATTCCTGGGTTGGGAAGATCCCCTGGAGAAGGGAAAGGCTACCCACTCCAGTATTCTGGCCTGGAGAATTTCATGGACTGTTTAGTCCATGGGGTAGCAAAGAGTCGGACGTGACTGAGCAAATTTCACTTTCTTTCATGAACATTCTAAAAGATATCAGCCATTATTATTTCAATATTTTTGACACTATGGGGGATCGTCACTTCTTTCAATTTCTCATTTGTTTAATCATATATTAATAATTCATACAATATATGAATATGAATGTTATATGAATAATTTATATACTCATAATTGATCTTCAAGGTTCAAAAGCATAAGAAACCCTGATGTTAAAATTATAACAATAATTAGAAGAATAAAAATAATTCTACAAATTCAACTCAATTTATCTTCATCAGATTCACAAAGGATATTCATTTTGTATAGTTTTTATATATGTAAAGAAATTCCTGGTACTTCAAAGTTACAAAAA